TACAAAATAAACAGCACTGAGTTCATCTGCAGTGCTTAAACAAACTGTAATGAACATTTGTAAGCGTACTATGTTTTAGGTCTATCTTCAAAAAGCAGACTACAAAAAATAGTGACATTTAAAGACCAAAAATCTTTCCAATTTTGCACAACCACAAAGCAGTGAAAATTTGGAGACGGCAACACATCCACATAGCATGTCAGACTCTGCTTGTGTCCACTTTAAAACAAGCCCTTTGATCAATAAAATTTACCCATGCAAAAAAACAACCCCATGTAGTGTCAACTGCTGATACTTGTTAGAGAAATTCTCCAAGAATGGAGATTCTGTAACAAGCAGCACTCTTCACAGAAGAAACCCAGAATAAATAAAACGCTTTTAGGTTTTATTTGCATGCTGCTGTGACTGAAAAGGCTCAACCAAAATGCAAAAATACGTGGGGTTTTTACTATGTAAAATACATTTTTGTATATAAAATACACACACACACACTTCATTACGCAGACAGATCCTTCCCTTTTCAACCCACCGGATCCTCCTCCCTCTCAGTGGTCAGGTTCTCCCCTGACCCCGTTTCCTTGCACCCATGAAGTTCACTTCTCACCGTATGGCACGGCAACCAGAGCGACACGACGCAAGCAAAGAGGCTGCCTTGGAAAAGTCACTTCCTCCATCCACCGGCACTGCAGTTAAGCCACCTGCTTTCCTCCTGGGGCTGTCATTCTCAGAGCGAAAAAGGATTTTAAGAAGTTGGATATAAACCTGGACTTCACTGAAAGATAGGGATAGATCTGAAAAAGTTTTCTTAAGCAAGACTTAATACTTTAACTTTTCTATTTAAACTACATCTGCAATTTTATCCAAACTGTATGTATGTAGGCATAATTATAGTTTCTTCCTATTCTGGCCATCTGATTAAAAAAATGTAGTAATGGTAGCTTCCAGCTGCCCAGCTGTATTTGCTCGCATTCAGTACCCAATGATCAGCTTTCCAGATACCAATGTATTTTCTGTAAACAGGGTTTTAGAAGAGAAACCTATACTTTACCTGTAGCTTCAAGTGCTGTTTCTTGGGCATCTAGCAGCACTATTAGATTATACAGCTAGTCACTAACTAGTTACAGCTAGTTCAAGAACAGCTCGACTCTCCTGCAATGTCTACAGGTAAACTTGAATAAAATATTGAGATGCCCTACTGTGAGCCTTTTATTTTTCCAAATCAAAAGCATTTTATTTCATACTTAAAAGTGCTCAGTCGATTCTAAAAGTAATACTAAGCCTGGTTCTACTTTGTATTGCGCTTTTAAAATATCATCAGAAGACTGGATTTCCAACACCCTCTCCCAAAGTGCAATCAAGTCATCTGGGTTCCCAGTGCAAGACCCACATACACACACTAGCACCCAGCCCCAGCCAAAACCCCCCTCAAACAGCGTTTAATAAAATCTTACTAGAACAGTAGGATTGGCCTTTTTCAAAATTGATGTGACACACACTTTCTTACTGTTTCATTGCAGATACAACTCACCAAGAAAAGGCTTGGCAACAATGATGGATCCTGCAAGAATTTTCAAGAGTGAATCATGATGATTACTACAAATGCTGCTTTTACAACTGCAAGAAAATTTTGAGAGTCTCCATTTTAACAACTTCGTATTTTATGCTCTAAACTGTTTTCTATTCCATTTTACCATAGTAAACTAAAATATCTCAAAATTAGTAAGTTTTTCTAACATTTACTTTTTCTTCTTAAACACAGCAATGAAAGGTATTGGCCCACACCTTGTGGTTTAGAAACTGCAGAGTAATTCTACTGGCTTACTAAATTTGGCATCATGGTGAGATACTTATTTTGCAAGTTGTTTTTACCAAAATGTTTAGTCTTTTTTCTTAATTTGTGTGTACACTGCAGATTACACAACTGTACACGTCAGCTAACTTGTTTCTTATGAAAAAGTTGAAGCAAGCATACAAAATATGGGAATTTTCTGTTAAAGGCCATCTGAAAAGAAAACCACTGCCCTCTGAACAGACTAGCTCAGTTTATCTAACGAGGAGACAGCAAACTAGTCATGCATCTGACACCTGCTATTCTCCAACTTTTGTTACTGAAAATTAACATCAGGCATGCTGAACCATAAACACATACTGGGAAACTTAAAATGTTAAAGACATTCTTCACAACCATCTCAAGCACCTTTTCTTTCTGTTCCACTCTGCACCTCATCAGGTTGAGACTTGCACCCAAACTGCTTGTTCAGTTAAAACAAAAAGCCAAAGAAAAACCTCACAACTTGGTATTTGGTTAATTTACACCCAATCAATTGGTTTTGTGGAACATTTATTACACTAATTGCTGGACAAGCACTTTTTTTTGTGGTCATGGACCACATTAGTATCCCATGAAGTAAATATCCCAAGTGTGTGTGTGTGTATATATATATATAAAAATTGATAGCTGCAGTCAGTAGTAGCTAAGCTTAAATTTCAGTGCGATAAAAATCTTGCTTAGCTCATACTGCAATGTGAAAGCTATAGAGATGCCCATCACTCCCTATTTAGCTACATGGAGCAATGAATTCTAAATTACTTAATTAAAACAACCAAGACTGTAATTTGTCTGTACGCCCTATGTGTGGCACTATGTTACAACTGCCATGCATGAATGGATTGTTTATTTTTTTTACATAAATACAAATTTCAGTAAAACGACTAATGATCACATTTTTATCTTTTCATCTTTTTCAACGTGACTTTACAAATTTTTAGCAGAACAGAATAGCTGTGTTTGTACCTGCACTTCGTGAGGTAATAGTGGTTATGTCACAGCATGTAGAAGTGTGGCCACTTGTACTTAGCAGATAACATGTTGTTCAGATTATAGCATGAAGTGATACCAAACCATATTTAGAGTCAATCCTAGTGCACAAGGCACTAAGTTTTTCTTTTGATTTTTGTAAGCAAGATTTTGTGTATTTGTAAAAGACCTATTACACACATATATTTGCAGTTTAAAATGACTCTTGTTTATGACACATACAGCAATGAAAACTATATCCACAGCTGGTAACATATTGTTCTAGTGAAACAAGAACGAACTTACCTGTTTGAAAAAGAACAAACAACACTCACAAACTACTTCTGCACCCATATCTACTGGAGCTTCCACCAGCACCCATCCCTCTAACTAGAGTGTCCTCACAAAGCTAGTAACTGGAAGTTACACATGGCTAGCATCAGTCTAGCTTTCTTTCTACCACCTACAATTTTAGGATTCACATCCTTAGACTATCCAAGAGCTCAGACAGACCTGCAGCATGAAGCTCCACTCCAGCTTTATAGGTGAAAATGAGATGTATTACCCAGAGTTAGTATAATGGCTCTGATTCTGAACATGCTTTGAACAACATGCAAGTAGAGAAAATGTATTACTGGAATTAGGGAGAGAAGACCGCTTAGAAATCTAATTAAAGAGAAATTTTAGACTATTACTTCAAAAGCATTATACTGGCTGTACGGACTGAAAACTGCTGTTTTCCTTAACAAAAGGAAGGGAAAGAGCCTAGAAGTTAAGAATGGATTCTCAATCATAATAACAATTAACATTGTGAATGCCACCAAATTGAAAATGAAGAAAGAAGAGTGTAATCTGTAAACCAAGGACTGATATCAGCAAACTTGGAGCAAAACCACCTTGTATCACTAGCTCAACAAGAGAGGCCAGCCTAGGAAACCGATTCCTTTAAGCACTTATACTTCACTATCAGAGATGCTAACATCATCTGAAAAAAATAGTATAGATATCTAAATGTAAGTATCACTGCTCAATTACAAAAACTCAAAGAGTTTAAAAATAATACACAACTGTGTATTTGGTAAATGCTTCAAGGACAGATGGGTTAGGGATAGGTAGAAGATGAGCAGCCCTTCCAAACCTTCTCCCTCAAATTCTCACTTCTGTTGAGAGAATGAAGAAACAAGAGTTTGAAATATTCCAAGATCACCTTACTCCCTGGGTGCACGCAAAAGTGCGGGAGTCCACAGTATGGATTCTTCTGCCCAGTGACAAGCACCAAAACAATTACATAGGATAAATGGCAAAGTGATTATCTAACCACATCTGTTAACAAATTACAGGCATCTCAGCAGTGGCGATGTAGCGCTGTCATTGCACTGATAAAATGCTTAAAGCCAGTGTCCTGAAACAAAACTATTATTACATTAGTTACCAAGTACTCACCATGCCTATGGGTGCATCAACTGTAGCATCAGTGAAGAAGAATTTATTATTGGATAGGAAGATCATAGCTCCAGAATCTTTACAGATTTGAACTACTTTTGATGGAGCCTTCAAGGTCCCCTGGGGTCACATCACTTCTCCTGGCTCCCAGAAGACTGGGAATTAGACGCTTGGTGCAGGGTTTTAAATCAGAGATTCGTTTTGAAAATTATTTTAGCTGTACATTTTTTGACAGGTACTAAGAGCTAATCTACAATTTTGAAAAAATGTGGTTGATATCTAGGCACCTTCATAGACGCATTAATATCGGTTTGCTGTTTCACAGGACAGAGTTTACACATCAAAACTGAACAACTTGATTTATTTAAAATTCACCTCAAAATGCATTGTGTTTAGTTTCTTTTTTAAAATGAACATTCAAAGCATCAAAATATTACTAATTTAAAAAGAACCTTTGTTAAGAATAAGATAATTTACATACTGTAGATTGTGGCTGTGAGGGGAGAGAAACAACCAATGGTAGATTAGGCACAGTACTAAGGCCAACATGCCAGAAAACAACACAGCTCTATGCTCAACTTTTAAATGATCTGGACAAAATAAAACAATTGGGTGGGAAAATAAAACCAACCGTTTACTTAAGGGGGTTTGTTTAAAAAAAAAAAAAAAAAAAAAAGGCGTTAGTAAGTTTTCTATCTAGACCTAACTCATTCACGTATTTAAAGAACTCTATCTTCTTCCAAATAACAAAAAGTGTTTCTAAACCAAGGCAGATTATTATTTGGAACTGGCATAGTAAAATAAAGGATCACAGTATACAGAGCTTAAAATCCTGTACCAGGAAAGAGCAACAAGTGGTTTACAAGGGGATCGTTTAAGTATATTATCTAATTTTTAAAAACAGAGATATAAAATATCAGTTGCATAGGGATTTAAATATAAGGCCAAGCAGGAGATTAAAGTAAAATAGAGATCATAAGAAGGGCACTATGGTGTCAAAACATAGTATTTCCATTTGAATTAATGTCTAATTCAAAATCACAGTATTTTGCTAGTACTACAAACAGTGAATGTCAAACTGTCCCATTAATCTTGAACTGAAAACTGACATTAGAACTTCTAAATAGTACAAAACTAAAGCTCATTGTCTAAACCTGATCAGTGTATTAGCACAATAGTGCTTGGTACGTACCTGATTTATATACTCTACCTTCTGTAAATAATATAAAGGTTATTTCTTGTTAATAAGTGTGAGATCACAATATTACTGCATGCCATCAGTGGTTTGCAGGCTTACTTGATATTTAATTATTCAGTCTTTAAAAGTGTAAGATCCCACCCTGCAGAATCTTCACCCATTGAACACAGAACACTGTCATTAATAAAATACAATAGGAGTTCCACCACTAACAACTAACATATAAGCCAGGATTGTAGGTCTAAACCCAGTACAGTTCATTATTATTAACTCACAGCAATTTTTGTTAGGAAGGTAACCTGTAGACTTCCAGATAATCTTGCATGTATTAAATATAAACAAGTATGTAGCTAACGGTCATCTCTTGGCATTTCAAGTAGATTATTCAATTGTGAAACTATTTCCGCAAAATCAATTTTAAGTTGTTAAAAGGAAGTTCAAATATTAATTTCTGTATCTACATGTAGCTTAATTAACCTAAAATTGTAAGGAATAGTAGTGTAAGGAAAAAAAAAAAAATTCTCCAGATGAATTAGGCGTTAAGGTACACTAACTGGGAATACCTGAACCAACATCGTAACTGAAAAGTGCATAAACATAGTAATACTACAAATGTGTTAACTACAGAACAAAAGGTTTTCTGAAAGCTAAGCGATACTATTTTACATGTTATTTACAGGTTGCAATTTTTCCAGAGACCACAGAGACAATTTACGATCTTAAAATTCCTTTGATATATTCAAAGCGTCCTTTGGCTTCCACCCTATTCGGTCAAGAACCTATTCACACACCAGTGAATCAGGTACTGTACAGTCGAACAACACTGCCATTGTGGTTCTGTAATTCTTCAAAATCCATTCTTTTCTGTTCTTTGAAGAAAAAGCAGTATTTTCATTTCACGCTTTTTGTAGGTGTTTCAGATTCTGTAGACTGTCTCCCATCAGTCCAAGCCTCTCGTGTGCTCTTCAGTGCTAGCGTTTTCTGCTGGTCGACCACAACATAATCAACTCTTTCATCTGCCACGCTGCTGCCTGAACCACTGCTCTTTTTCTGGGAAAGGCAAGGGAGAGTGAAAAACCTTTGTTAAAATAAATTAACAACAAAAACTAAGTAGATGTCCCAAACAGATATAGAACAAGCACAGGTTTCTCTGAAAGGCTCTCCAGTTGACCGTTTGACGAACTAGTTAAGATGATGTTGCGGGAGGCTCCCTCTTTCCCAGCAACTACTTGTGAAGAAATTTTAAAGTTTTGATGGCAGAAATGCAAGAGTTGAAGATTCGCTTACCTTACGAGGTGGGGTAGATTTTCCCGAGTCTAGGTCCAGATCTAAATATTCTACTTGTTTATCTCCTTTAGGTTTTACCATAGGGCTGCTTCCTCCATCAAGACTGTTGCTTCCAAACAAGTTCTGAAATTATATGTAAATAACTTCAGCTACAAATGTACATGCTAATAGTCCACATTATCAAATACTCTTATTATAAACTGCCAAAATATTAAAGGTTAAAGAACTGACTGAGAGCTCTTGCAATCAGTTAAACCATGCAAATTTTATTGACATTGTGTAACAAGGGGATATATTCTAAGTCAAAACTGGGACCAAGTTGAAAGCCAATGGTGGTGGGAAAACCCCAAAACCAACCCCCCCAAATTTAAGGTTGACCACCAAACCAGTCTGTGCCTTCCACCTAATGTCCCTTTCATATCATGAGATAAGAACGGAGTGTGGTTTGTTCTTTTTAAATGAAGTTGTTACACCTCAGATTTAGCATTACTTAATTACAAACTTTTTTATTCCCTTAAATTGCTGTTAAATACCTTGCAAGAATTTCAGCCTTATAATAGTGGCAAAACTTTAAATGAAACTTTTACATTTCATTCAAAAGCCATCAGGATTAAGCTGAAAATCAAGAAGTATTACTCAATTGATAAGACCAAAGGATTAAAACTTCAGAAAATTTGTGTAGGGCCGCCTGAACTGAAGTTGCATTGTATACACCTAAATTTTAATTAGCCCAGACTTTTACAACCTCACCTCCTCTGTCCTCTCCCAGCCTGATCCCTCCCTCTTAACAGGTGTTATAGGAACAGTACAATAGAAGGACTCTTCTCTAAAAGATAAAGAAAAAAAAAGGAAGACAGAGGGCAGCAGTCAGCAAAAAATGAAGAGGAAGGCAGAAGGAAAGACAGACGGGTAAGGCTGACAGCAACTTGAAAGAAAAAGCAGAATATTGCTGATTTTATTAAATCAAACAGAAGTATGACATGTCCAAACAAGATGCTTCGAAGCTGATGACAGAAAAAGATGAAAAAGTATGGACTCCTTTCTACGATGCAGTTGGAACAAATAAAAATTTCCAAAACGTCTATGTAATTGGTACATTTTAAAACAAAGGCCTTGAGATATCTGGAAACGTTCGGGTTCCCTATGAAATAAAATATTTTATGGGTTAAAGTTTAATGGGCTGGGCTTTTAAAATTGACGTTATCCATTATATCTGTATCATCCAACTCATTTAATATTAAGTGGTAACAAGGACAAACACAAACAACTGAGACAAAGTTCGTTTTTGTTGCCCAAATTTTCTAAACAAATTTCTGCATATTTAACATACAAAAATCAGGTTCTGTATCAATGTTTGCAGCATAAATAAAAAAGCTATTACTCCTTAAACAAAAAAATAATCTGTTATTTCAAACAAACTAGACAGGCAGAACATATGCATTAGAAAACAGAAACTTTAAATATACGTAAACAAAAATTAAAGGAAATCTGTAGAACAACCTTAAAGAATGAACGGTGCAAGCAAACAGAAGATATTAATGACAGGCCATCTGAGCTGTGATAGTAATTATACCGTCTTGGCACTGAAGTTAACCCCCTGAAACAGCATTGTTAAGAATCAACAGAAATCCCCAACTCGAACTGCGATTCTGCTGCAGGGAGAACTGTGGGCATAGGCGATTCTAAACCTTTGTGTAAAACGGGATGTTTCTTGCACCTGCAAAAATGGGACGTTACCGATTACTTACCAAAGCCTCTTGCAAGAGAGGGGCTAAGTTTTTACATCATCAGCTCCCCACTGCTGGAAGCGCACTTCACCTGGGAAGCGCGCCTGCACTGCTGGCAGGTCAGACATCCGTACAAAGCACAGGGCAGGATGCTCTGCAGGTGCGTGAGCTTGCACCGAGTCAGAGCTGCCCGCAGAGAAGTCAGCAGGAGGGGTTCGCTCGGGGGGGCCTAAGAGGCACTATCCAGAGGCAGCAATGGTGAGCTGGAGGGGAGGGAGGCTGGAGGAGATCAGGGAGGGTATCCAGAGCAGCAGGGGATGGGGAAGCAAGCAGCACTGCGAGAGGAGAAGAGTCCAGGGTGTAGTGAAATGGGCTAGCACATGCCATATAAGAAGGCAGACAAACGAACAGAACAAAAAAGGTGCTAGGCAGGCCCTCCCCAAAAAAGGTCTTTCATAATGCTTTAAAGATGAAAAATGCTGCTGTATTCCCTACTAAGAACCCAAGCCGTAAAGGCGTGTTGAATGCATTGAACTATATGGATCAAAAAGCTGAGCTCAACATACAGGTTTTCCTCCAGTGCTTTAGGGGTATTCTGGACCACGTTTTAGTTTAGGCCTAGGTCTACTGCTACTCTCTTACTTTAAAATACTATTATTGGTTCTTTTTCTCTCTCTCCTTCCCCCTCCAACCCCCGCAACAAAAAACACAACGCTCATCATTAACTTTTCCTAACTAGCTCTTCACTTACTGCACTGCAAGCTGAATACCCCAAACCTTATTATCTGAGAAAATTCTCCCCCAAAGGGGAAAAAATACAGATATTGAATACACAAAGACCCGCTCTGCCCTCTTTTTTTGAAAGTAGCCTATTAAAAGTACACATAGCTCAGTTTTTATAGAATGTAAACAACAAATATCAATCCTTTTTTCTCCTTGTTCCTCCCACATTTCTTGAAAGATATCCTTTTAATAAAGGTTTTTAAGCCTGTCTCAGAGATCCTAAGACAGATTATTTCCCTTGATGTCATAATACTGAACTGGTGCATAGCCCAAGACAAGCAATTACAAAGAGGAGACAGTTTCTAGGGAAGAGGAAAAAGAAAGTCATGTGTTGAACTGTTTTGTACAATAGATAAGCATACTAACCATTCTCTTTATATGTGATTATGCTCTTAACTCCTTTAGTGAAATCTTACCAAAATAACAGGTTTTCTACAGAATTTTTAAAATTATTATTTTAATCTAGAAGTATCAAGGGAGTGATGTCGAGTGGAAGGATCTGTGTTTGCATGATTTAAAAGTAAGGACTGCACAGGAAGAGAGTAGTTAAGATGTAGATTTTACATACTGGATCTTCAGTGGACTGATTTGGATTCATGGATACATAATTCTCTTCACTGTCGTGCGAGTCACTGCTGGAAGTTGTGCTATGAACTGAATCCGGTCTGGGAGACATGGGAAACCTGGAGGAGCTAATTACCAGGAATTATTTTACAAACAATACATCTCGAATATCTTAAACCTCCTGGTAAACAACAGAAATAAGCATATTAGTGCTGAAATTTTCATTCGGGTTTACTAGAGTGTCACATTTTTTGGTTATACACAGTCCCTTATATTTAATATTACAAAATAAAAATTCATATGGACACACTTTGTTTCAATGCACATAAGCACGTATACATACACACACACACATAGGCACACACACACTTCCAAAGGAAACCTCAATTTGTATTGCACAGGCTAAAAATATAATACAGATGTACACACATTTATTAACACTCTAGTCAACGAAAACAATTAATCCGAATGAGGAAAAGCTAAGAAACTTACTCTCGTGCAAAGCTTCTGGTGATAGGAGATCTAACTGGAGCTTGTAATTCTTCCCATTCAGGCAGAGGTTTTATTTCTAGTGGAGCTGGTTTTGCTATGTAAGAAACAGACAATCTTAAAGCAGAGAACATTTCTAAACAAACTGAAATTTAATAGCTTTTCAAAGCCCAAATGAAAAACATTTTACTATTTTTTAAATAGCAAATACTAGTTAGAAAAAGGAGATACTGTTCAGACCTCAGAAAGCCATGATATATTAACTTATATTTTTAATCTTTCCAGGTACTGAAAAGCAACATCACTTAGAAAAAAAGATCACAATTTAAGCATTTTGCAAGATATACTTGTATGTAGCAATTCTGTTTTGAAAAGAGACTCTGAAAATGGCAGCATCATGTTCTGTCTTTACTCTGCCATGATGACTTGTTGAACTGACAGGGCCAGGATAGGGCTTACGGACTGTTTCAGCAGAGCCAACTCTGGGTACTTTTCTTGGCTCACGGACAATTATTATTATGCAAACTCTGCCCTCACTGCATACATGTGCCCTTACTGATGAGGTTTCACAGCTCAAAGTGTGGGCAGAATCTGCAGCTAAGGCTAAGTTTGCAAAAGTGAGAGATGAGCCAACATCAAGCTTCAATTCCAGGAGGTGCTTGGCTTGCTTCAGTGCTTATCAACAGACAAGCAGAGTAGCAGCATGTTTCTGCCATTAATGACAGCTAACACTGTTCTAGAAAAGGTGCCATTTTTAAATTCCATTTTCAGAACAGAACCACAAATAGAGTATTAGTGAGAAATGCATTATCTCTCCTTCCAGCTTATATGTTTCACCCCTTCTAAGGGTTGGGGGGGGGGGGTGTAAAAGGAGTTTTGGAAAAAAAAAAATTAAAAGAAAATGATAAAAATCACACAAACTGCTGTCACAGTTTGAATCTCAACTTCATCCTCCCTAAAACTGTTTTTAGAAAATAAAATGCAATGTCATTATAATGACACCCCTTCCTCTCCTCGCCCCCCCATCAGTTTGCTGCCTATTAGCAAATTTACCAAGATCAAATGTCAGGCATGTAGCACTAGTTCATGTGGAGTAAGAGCTGTCGTAAGTGACCACATGAGGAACTGAACAGAAATCAGTTGCTTAATCAGTGTGGTTGTCTCACAAGGAAAAAGCAGAACTGTACTCATTATACTTTCATTATAGTCACTCTTCAGATTGAATTTATTGAAAAGTCAGCTATCATATACTGAACATAAGGACTCCCGATTCAAATTTTCCGGATAAGTATGAGTCTTTAGTATTCCAAACAGTCTTCTCCTTTTCTCTGTTAAGAAGTCATAATTACGCACTCAAAGCATATCAAGCCTACTCCAGTAATTCTGCCACTTTAACTCACTTGCTCATAAAAAGCTGTCACCACAGACTCAGAAGAGGAACTACAACTCATCTATCTCAAGATACAGTGTATCATATGAGATAAGAGTGGCAGAACCGAACTTAATGTAGGCAAGATGATACTAAAGCATGAGTGACACAAAAATTATTAGCTTGGCTCAAGTCCTCTGTAAAGGCTTGAGACTACCTGGCAGGTATAAACAGCAGGCAAGGTACTGCTCCAGCAGAAATAGAGTCAGGACTTTGTCCAAAGCCCACTGAGAACAGCAGGAATATTTCATCCAGTTGCAATGGGCTTTAAGAACCAAAGGTAATATCCCTGACACTTCTGTGGATTTTTAACCTTATTTGTAGTCTCCTCTACTTCCTGTGACTATATAAGGCACCAACTCAGCACCTTCTTTCTTGAAGCCCATCAGACTAATAATGCTCATTAAGATGCATAAATAAATCTCTGTGCTAGCAAATGGTCAGAGGATCAATATTTTGCTTTATTTCAGTGTTTAGCCAACAGCAAGAGACCCAAGTAAACTGTGCTTTCTGGTTATTGCCTAACAAAAGTTTTTTCAAGCAACTTACAGGTGAGTCATATATACTTGCTTCTAAGTAAACAGACAAAAGTAAATCCAAGATATGAACATCTATGACTTAAGAGATCAGAACACCCATGTTAATGTCAAGGAAATGTTTCCATGCACTGTTCAAGCCAGAAAGACTTTAATTCCTTATATAGGCAGCTTTTTGCTTGGCAAGGAAAATGCATCCGTGATCTTAGATTATAGCAGAGGTAAAAAGACTATACAAGAGTTAAAGTTATTCTAGAATAACAGTTTTCTTAATTTTTGTTTTACTTATTTTTATAAAGCTCCATATACATACAGTGCTAAAGTACATACCCTTTCTTCTTGTAGTAAAGTCACCTATGGTTTGTGAATCAGTTCGCTCTAAACCATGTGGTTTAGGTCTTAAAATTTTAGGACTTTGACCTAATTGGTAAAAAGAAGACTCTCTTAATAATATTCTATTTGTAACTGGAAAATGGAATTTTGTAAATAAACAGCACAACCCCCTGCAGAAAGGTTAATGCCACAAGCATAAGCAAGCTGCTGAAGGAGAGTTTTACAGTCTAGCTAGGTCTCACACTAAGGGCTTAAGCACCAAACCAGAAACAATGAAAACACTGCATGCAAGTAATTTGTCGGAAGCAAGCATTAAAGGTATACAAAAAGGCTAGAAAGTGCATCAACAAATACTGTAACTGATCATTACTATTAACTGGTTTCAAGTTGCATTACATAAAAGATTCCGTATTTGAGGAATACCTAGCATGACAGGAGAATAGTCATGTTTCAGATGCAAGTTGAGGTACCCTCAAAGAAATGAAATCCTCTTTAGCCACAATATTACTTTGGAAATAGTGATACCCCTGGGAGGTCTCCTATCCACCGTACATCTCCCACTTGAGAAGCCCCACGAATCTTTTTCCACACTGTATTTGTTAAACTTGTTCCCCAGAGGTCTATATCTGTCTGTACCAAAACCACCTCTCTAACCTTGCAGACACAGGGGGACTTTCTTTACAAGCCTGCATACTGTCCTCCCTGCCCCCCTTCCGCCACAGCACAAGCCAACCTCCACCACAAATGACCCTGTCATAAAATTACATTCTCTAAACCCTTTTTAAATTATATATACCTATATACAAGTGCAGTAGATGCACCAATCATGCCCCAATATTTTATGCTATCATACACTATCATGCTATCATGTTATTAGCATAACATTTCCCTATGTTATGCTATCACACAATGTGACACTTTAGATGAATCTGGTAATATGATGAAGGGTACAAACTAAGAGAACATTAGAGTCAATAAGCTCCCTACAGGCAGTAATATAACCCCTCTCCCAACGAGAAAGTTCTTCATCACCTTGACCAACCTCTGCAAGTGTTCCAGGTCACATTGTCTATTTTAAATAAATATGATCAATAATGCATAATAATCCTAACCTTTCATGAAAGTTTATCTGACAAAGTGTTAATATTAGAAAAGGTGAGTGCCTTCAAGTGGTACACCAAGAAGCCATATGAAAGGTAAATCTTTACAATTAACCAAATGAGAAGTTTAAGTCTGACTATGTTAGAAAGTTGCCCTACAGCACAAAACAGAAAAGGACTGGTATAGACTCAGATGTGGGCTGGTACTACTAGCAACGCGTGAGAATGCTCTGTAAAAAATAAACTTGGCAACAAACACCAGAAGTTTGCAAATCTGTGCCCCACGGGTTTTGCATATGAAGTGCTCTATTACTGTTATCACTGAAGTATTGGGAATAATCAAGTAACAACAAGAAAGATAAACAGAAAGGTTTTGTACAGTATCTTCTACACAGTGCTTCTGAGAGACCATGCAGGTAAAACAAAATTTATTTATTTACTAGTAGTGCTGCATAGCAACTTCCTTAAAAAGAAAAGGACATGAAGTGATTTTCACACAGACAGTACTTCTCCAATTTCAAAATCAGATGCTCCCTTAAATGGCTCGAAGTGCCCATGAAAAGGCCAAGCAGTTGGGCAATGCTGACCAAAGACCCAGATTGTAAAGTGGTACACAAAGCATTTCTGTAAAGTATGCTGTTGACTGGAGCTAAGTCAAAAGCATGACCTAACATGTTGGCATAGTTCATTCTCAGCTGATTCGATATTCTTAAGTACCTTGCCTACAGCTCAATGATAAAAGCTTGCCTATATAAGAAGACCAAGATCTGAAAATCAATTGAACAAATGTAGAAGTTCAAATTCAAACACCTTTTATTAAGAACAATCTGGCGCTGAATATCATTACCTAATCACATTCACTTTGTGTTCCACAGTTTTATAATCTGATTTAAAAGAAATTTGGCCCAATACAACTCAATTTAAAATGCCAATCAATGCATTGACATACAAGCACAGATCATAAGTACAGTGAGAAATCTAGCAGAGGTAACAGGGTTAATGAAATTATTTAACCAGTGTGTACTTCATAATCTCTCTGCTCTTATAGCCAAACATAGGCTTAAGTGCCTGAAACCATAATACAGAAGATAAGCCCAAGGAACTCAGGGCTATGACTCATTATTTCTACTTCTGTTAATGATGCTACATGGTCTCGTGCAGCTAAGCATCCTGAACTATGATTATCCCCATTTGTAAAATGGGGCATTATGTAAATGCTTGCCTCATACTTAAGTTAGCACTTACAAACCATTCTGAGACTTTCAGAAGAGCTATATAAATAAGTACAGGTCCCTATAATATTTCTCTTCTGCATCAGACAAGAACATACAAAATGTTCCAGTGTAAAATAAACTCACTAGGCTTTCATCTCTTGCCGCTGAAAGACTGTTCAACCTAAATAAATTTGGTGGCAAAACAGCTTGTTGCTACCAACCAGCCAGGATAATGCAATACCTCTAGTTTAATATGTCACAAAAAATTAAAATGTTTGTGCAGTTTTGTGGGTTTTTTTCCTGCCTACAAAACAAAAAACAAAAGGCCTAATCTCTGTTGAGGAGCTTATTCTGTGCAACAGAAAAGGCCTGACACCAGGCAAAGGAAAAGGGGAGGGGGGATAACAATCACAAAACTGAGGTTACTTATTTGTGTCTCTAGTGAGGAATTCCTCCACCTTGTTTTTGCCCATTTAAGAAGATAA